AGAATGAGGGTGAGTCAGATGACTGGAGGGAGGGCGGGAGTGGCTGGCTGGTACATGGAGGTCACTCCTCATTACTTTTTGACTCATAATAGCTACTTAGTGGTTCGTTATAGTGAACAAAACATGCAAATACAGTACTTATATATAACCTGTGCTTATAGTGTAATAACCGACAAAGTATTTGTTCACTGATTGATGAACATAATTGAATCAACAATATGCACACCATATTTTTGAGTACACCAACGATTCACTCATTTTATTATATAAATATATCAAACTACACACTATTGAATAATATTACAGCAAAAAAAGTATGAAAAATCAATCAGAGACATTGAAATAATTCGGTAATTATCTCTTTGTGGCAACTCCGGCCTGACAGCTTGCGAGCAACAGATCGCCTGGGACGCACGCTGAGTCAGCGCCTATAATTTGCCAGACTTCCCCGCCCTATAGCGGGCAATATATGCCACTTACGATTTTTTTATTATTTTTCCCGTGATCAATGAACACAAATTAACAGGTTAGAAAGAAAAAATAATTTGAAAAAATAATTTTTTTTTTTTTTCAAAATGACATGCGCCTGTGGGGATGGCAGGATATTAAACCCCGAGCATGTTAAGGGTTAACCACCATGATGCGCCGAGTTTACTGTGAAATTCCTCCTGTGCGCATGAAATAAAGCGTTCCCAAATTTTTTTTTCTTCGTAAAATGATAAATTCCCTTCCCTGAACATGTCTATGTAAAAATAAATGCCAAATTCCACTTACTTTGGCTGTGAGGATGTGGACAAGGTGCGCTGTGACGTCATCAGGGACTGGTGGCCCGTGCGTGAATCGCCCAGACACGGTCACACGGGCCATTCAAGCACCGGGTGTTGCCACAAATATATTTTCAATTATTTGTTTTATGTTTTTTCAATGCGGTTTTATTTGTTATTTATTGTATATGATGCATACTTGTGTCCTTTACAATATGTATACAGTAGAACGTTCATAATGTTCCATGGAACTGTGATACATTTCCCTCTTCAAGAGGAAACTAGATTGTTTCCTCCAAGGAGTGCCGGACCAACCGGGCTGTGGCAGGTATGTGGGCCTGTGGGCCACTCCAAGCAACAGCCTAGTGGACCAAACTCTCACAAGTCAAGCCCTGGCCTCGGGCCGGGCTTGGGGAGTAGAACAACTCACAGAACCCACATCAACCAGGTATCAACCAACATGAGTTAGTAATGTGTCCACAATAAATATTTATTGTCACAATATTACTTGTTAAAACTTCACTAAAATTACAATATGTACAGTTTCAGACACTATTTACACAGTAACACAATGTATTACACACTTAGTACTTCGAAAGTGAGTAATAATTAACGAAGTACCAGTAGTCCATGGTACACAGCGCGACTTCGCACTCGTTGCACCAGGTACAGATGGATTTCACTTTATGTTTCTTCGTTCTGTGTGCTTGCAAATAACGCACTCACGTACACCCTTGGCATTAGTACCTGTAGGTGGTATGTAGCCAAGCTTGTAAAACGTAAGGTAGTCTTGAAAAGATTATAGGAAAGGATCAATTTGTAAGGTAGTCGTGAAAAGATTGCTTTGTATGGTCCCACACAGGAAAAGATTCAGCCAGCCTCAAAGAGTGTCCGTCAGTCTGGAAGAGATTTAGCCAGCCTCAAAGAGTGTCCATCAGTCAAGAAGAGATTCAGCTATTCTTGAAATTATCTATGGAAAACACCACCATGGAAGCTGCAAACACTGTTCATCTATGCTACTTGTATCAGATACATCATCACTGAACGCAGAAAACGATTCAACTACGTATCATCTAAATAAATTGGAGATAGCATAGGTGGGCCAGGGTGGTGCTCAGAGCTACAATTGGATACACTCACTGTATCGTCCTCATAGGTGCTGTATAACTTGCATCCAACCTTTGTGTTAGGTCCTTATTGCGCCTAGCTTCACGTATATTATGATCCTTATCTTCTTCAAACAATAAGGTTTGAATTTCACCGACAGAGCGCGATCTTTCAACACCGCGTCGGACAGTGGTTTAGAAGCCAGAGACATGTGTGCCACTCATGGTTGCTCATTCAGTATTAACCCAACTAGCAGCCCTAGGGCATTCTGGGAATTTTTCCAAGATGGCTGCCTCTCACAGGAGGCCCTAAGAGTCCATTTCGTACACAACCAACCTCGCACACATTTAGAATGGGTACGAAAAAATAAAAAAGAGTTTTCTCAGTTGGCGCAGATTCCTACCGACCGAGAATACTCGTTTGGTGCAGTTAAGTGGTTAATATTCCTAATGTTATACCCCTTTCATGCACTTCAATCATGTCACCACTAACTCTTTGCCTTTTAGAAAATGTATATTAAGCTCTCTTAATCACTTGTCATATAGGAGGTATCTAATTCCTTGGATTAACTTTTGTCACCCTTTGCTGAATGTCTTCAAGTAAATTTATGACCATTCTATAGAATGGGGACCAAAACCGATATAAATGAGCTCTTCCTCTTTCCCAAGGAAGAGCCAACAAAAAAGCCAACAAAACACAAGCGTTGAATGTAATGAAATGCCATTTTCTGGGTGAGTCCCGGAGGCTCCCCGGAGCTTATCAGGCTAATGTATGCTATCTTAGACTGGGACATTAGCTATGAAGTTCAGACTTACCAGGGACCAGCGCCAGAACCTGGCCCCTTCAGAGAGGTTTCAGGAAGCAATGGCCCTGGAAAACCCCCTTGTGGTTGGGGTTTTTCCTTATCTGCCATCGACTGGGGTTAGACACCCAGAAAGGTAGGCATAACAAAACAAACCCCACATAGTAAGAAACTAAAACAAAAAACCGAACAGAGAGGTAGAAACTTCCTACAATCCCAAGCAAACAAGCAAAAATCACACTTTACTGCCACGCTGCTCATCTGCACAGCCTTCCCCTCCCTGAGAGGGGGAAGAGGGGGGACCCCGGCCCTTACCACACCAGCCGCTTAGCAATTCAGTTTGGAAGCTAAGCTTTAACCAACACAAAAAAAATTCTGACTGGTGGGAGGGAGGGTAGCCAGGGAGCTACCCTCCCTCCCCGGGTTCGGACACCGAGCAAGCAGCGCCTGAAAAGAAGGCTGGGCCAGCCACCAAGGGGCCACGAGGACTACTCACCTTGGGAAGGACTCCAACCGAGCCAGAACCCGAAGCAGCAGCTGGACAGGGGGATGAGGTACATGTAACTCCACCTCGACCAGTCCTGCTGAAAAGCATCTACAGCAAATGCCTTGCAGGCGGGAAAGGGCGTCACATAGAATGGGAGACGCCAAGGCCACACCGACTTGAAGATGTCCATGTCAAGGAGTCCGTACGTCCGGCAGAGCCAACAAAAAGAGTCGGCAATGACCAGCCATTCCATGAACAGAGGAATGAACCATGACAGGCTGTCTGCCAGGACGATGGACACACCCTAGACATGAACTGCACAGAGAGCCAAACCCTGAGAGACCAGCAGGCAAGCCACTCGAAGAGATCAACCCCAAAGAGGCAAGGACCGAAGAGAACTCTCCCGTGGTTATGGCAATGAACCACCAGCGAACAGTCTGAACGGGGCCCAATGGCAGAGCCCCGAGGGATCCAAACCCTCCGAAGCACAAACCAGACTGCTGCGAACTCCCGAACTGTGCTGTGAGCCCGACAGAAGGACGGACCCCATTCTCCTCGACCAACCTGGTGAGCACTGATCACAAAGCCCCAGCCAAGAGACGACCCGTCCGTGAACACATCGAGCGAAGGATCAGGGAGGTGCCAAGGCACTGAACCCCGAAAACCCCAAAGAGGAAGCCGGCGACGCAGCACCGACACAAGGCCCCTGGAGGATGAACCCAATGACCACGAGAGAGGTGGAAAGGGTGCCCCCGAAGGAACCAAAACAGATGCCGAAGCCAAACCCAACCCGGCGTGTAGACCAGCACGGCAAAGTTCAGACTCCCGCACAACTGCTCGAGCAACTGTCAAGTGACCCGGAACCCCCTCAGATACAGCCAAAGGCAGGATAGCAGCCCCAGCAACGCCTCTGGAGGGAGAAAGAAGTGGACCCAGAGTCCACTGCTTTCGGGTGAACTGGAGAATGTTCTCCAGTTCACCCGGAACCCAAACCCGGCGAGCTGGAAAGAACAACATCCCTGGCGATCAGACAAGTGGACCAACTGGGAGCCCACACCAGCCAATTGTCGAGGTAGGCCAGAAACCAAATCCCGAGCAGACGCAAAAAGGGCACCAAGATCCAGTAAAGATGTGTAAAAACACTAAGTGCCATTTACCAACTACAGAAGGCAACAAAAATGGCAAGCCTGAAGCCCCACCATCAACATGTGACAGTCCTGGAACCCTGGAGAGGAACGAGCCAAGAAGTGACCCAGAGGTCCAGGGACACCATCCAGGCACCTGGCCCCAACAGAAGCCGGACCGGAGACAACAGTCATCCGAAGAGAGGCAAAGAAACCAGGGCGCAAACTGAACAAGTCCAGAAGAACTGCAGATCTGCAAAGTCCCGTGTCGACATTGGAACCAGTGGGAACCCCAGAAGGACGGATCGACCACGTCCAAACGTACCCACACCAAGAAGACATGACAAAGCGCAGGGGAAGAAGCCTACCCCGCAAGCCCTGAACCCCCCAAAGGGAAAGGAGTTGGCCATCGCCATTAACCCTTAACATGCTAGGGGTATAATATCCTTTCTTCCCCACAGGCGCATGTAATTTTGAAAAAAAAAGAAAATTATTTTTTCTTCCTAACCTGTTAATTTGGGTTCACTGATCACAGGATAAATAATAAAAAAATCGTAAGTGGCATATATTGCCCGCTATAGGGCGGGGAAGTCTGGTAAAAAATAGGCGCTCACTC